TGCCTGTCTCAGCTCTGGCATTTTTGCCAATGACTCTGGCAACCCCCTAATGAGACGCATGACATTATGGAAATATTTATAACATTGACTGTGTCAGTACTAAAATATATTTGATTTGAGGATTGCAAAAAGTGTTCTAAGCAAGGAAGCATTCTGATCTTGGAATGTTTATCAGTTGTAGACTTTTTTACTTTTCAAGGTGGGCCTCCCTCAGACATGGTCCATCTGGAAAGGAAAAGAAAACTCGATGCCTCTTTCCTTCAATCATGCAATACTTAATTGCTTCCCAATTTATTGGCACAAAGAGCTGTCAGTATTTTAGCCTGTCACAGCAGAAATGTGTGTGTAAACAAATAAAACTGATTTAAGCATTATTTTGTGTTTGTGCATTGTATTTAAATAACAGAACCTCCCAACTCCCCCTGGTGTCCTGATATCAAAAACATACCACCAACTTAATAATAACTCTGTTCACCCATTCAATCCACCCCTCAATTTAATCGCCCACAATTTAGATTCCCAAATGTCATATGTATGCTTCATCATATTCATAAGTCCACCCCCTGTAAAACCTGTAGTTTAAAACACCTGCCATAGTCTATTTCACATGTATAATAATCAAAACCAATTCCTGTCCTACGGTCCCTCTCATGGCACGTAACGCAGGTCAGCTGTGGAAAATTCATAATTTCATAGAAACCTAAAATCCATCAAAGGTTTATCAATGCAACTGTTCCATCTAGTGGTGTAAATCCATCATGCACACAACCCTAATTCTGTAAAAACATTCCTTTTCATTCATCCATAGTCAAACGTTAATCAGTAATCAATTAATCAAATCATCAAATCCATCATTACACCCATCCATCCATCCATCCATCCATCCATCATCTTTACCCACTTCTTCCACTTTGGGTCACGGGGGTCGCTGGTGCCCATGTCCAGCAATCACTGTGCGAGGGGCGGGGTACACCCTGGACGGGTCGCAAGTCCATCACAGAGACACATAGAGACAAACGAGACAAACAACCATTTACTCTCTCACTCACACCTAGGGACCATTTAGAGTTACCAATCAGCCTAACATGCATGTTTTTGGTCTGTGGGAGGAAACTGGAGCACCTGGAGAAAACCCGCGCATGCACGGAGAGAACATGCAAACTCCACCCAGAAAGGCCCCTGGACCGGGGTTTGAACCAGGGACCTGCTCGCTGAGAGGCAGCAGCTCTACCAGTTGCGCCACCGTGCTGCCCTACATCATTAAAATTAATTATTAATCCAATCCAACTTTATGTATAAAGCACTAAAAACACCCATACAGGATCAAAGTTCTGTACAGACAAGTTAAAAAGCACAAAAAAGAATAAAATACTAGAAAAAAAGAACTGAAAAGACATAAACAGCTATCCAATAAAAATTGAAACAGTAAAAGGAGTATCAAATAAATAACAATTATAAAATCAACATCTCACATGGTGTCAAAAGCCTTAGAAAAAAAAAAGTTTTAAGATGGTATTTAAAAACAGGCAGCGAGGAGGTTTGTCTGATGTGGAGAGGCAGACCGTTCCATAGTTTAGGAGCTGCTACTGTGAAGGCACGGTCACCTCTAAGCTTGAGCTTTGTTATGGGTATACTCAGGAACAGCTGATCAGCTGACCTGAGGGCACGTGGCGCGCGCGGGGGGGGGGGGGGGGGGAAAGGGCGGTAGCGGCTGGGGGGGGGGGGGGGGGACAATACCATTGAGAGATTTAAAAGTAAATAAAATAATCTTAAAACTGATCCTAAAATGTATGGGCAACCAGTGAAGTGAGGCTAAAATGGGGGAAATGTGCTCGTGTTTACATGTTAAAAGACGTGCAACAGCATTTTGCACCATCTGAAAACGGGCAATGGAGGAGCTACTAACCCCCACATAAAGAACATTACAGTGATCCAGCTAGTGGTCACAAAGGCATGAACTACTGTTTCAAAATGCTGATGTGAAAGGATGGGTTTTATTTTAGCTAGCTGCCGTAACAGGAAAAAGTTTGATTTAACAACTGAACTTATCTGACTGTCGAGCTTAACATCCATATCCATTTTCACACCAAGATTTGTAAAGGTGGGATTGATGAACTGGGCCAAGAGTCCCAGATCTACAGGAGGGGGGCCAGTGGTACCACCAAAAACCATCACTTCTGTATCCTGATGCAGGCTCAATAATCCAGATAGAAAAATCTAAAAAAGTTAAATCTGGTCCTCTGGACATTCAAAAAACAAACAAAGCAAAACAACAACAAAAAAAGTAGAAACGTTTCGTCTCTCATCCAAGAGACTTCCTCAGTCTGAGGTGCTGTATTCAGCTCAGTCTCTTAAATAGCACCTTCTCAGAGTGGATCAACCAGTTTTGCTGCTGACAACCAAAACCAGCTGCTCACATGGTCAAGAAGGACCATCAGCCTAACGATGGGTCATTAGCACACTGATGGCTGTTTACTATTCACAGAGGGCTGAGTGATACTAGCAATCACAGCATTGTAAGAGGGGGACAGTTGAACACGGAGGCTTCACCCCTGTTTAATGATGGACGATTTCTTTTCACAAAGATGGCCTCCGTTACTCCTCTCTCAAACCATCATTCCTCTCTATCAAGGATGTGAACATCTTCATCCTTGAAAGAGTGACCGCTGGCCTGGAGATGAGTGTAGACCACAGAGTCCTGGCCTGATGGTGTTGCTCTTCTGTGCTGGGCCATCCTTTTGGCCAGTGGCTGTTTTGTTTCCCCGATGTAAGACTGATCACAGCCCTCCTGACACTGAACAACATACACAATATTACTCTGTTTGTGCCGGGGGACTGGATCTTTGGGATGAACCAGTCTTTGCCGTAATGTATTTTGGGGTTTAAAAGCCACTGGGACGTTATGTTTAGAAAATAAACGTCTCAGTTTCTCTGATACTCAACATATGGAATGACCACTGGTCTGGGTTCCTCCTTTTCACCTGATGGCTGACTGGAGTCCAGTTTTCTAGACAGTCAGGGTTTAGAACTTATCATAGCACAGAAACAGCACTAGTAAAAGTAACTAATGATGTTCTCATAGCCTCAGATAATGGACTTGTGTCTATACTGGTCCTGTTAGACCTCAGTGCTGCATTTGATACAGTTGATCACAATATTTTACTACAGAGGCTTGAATATGATATTGGGATTACAGGAACAGCTCTAAAATGGTTTAAATCATGTCTATCTAATAGATTCCAGTTTGTAAATGTAAATAATAAATCATCTTCATACACCAAAGTTAGTCATGGAGTTCCTCAGGGCTCAGTGCTTGGGCCAACACTTTTTACTTTATATATGCTTCCATTAGGTAAAGTTATTAAACAGCATGGGATAAATTTTCATTGTTATGCTGATGACACACAATTATATTTGTCCATTAAACCCAATGAATCCAATCAGCTACTTAGACTACAAGCATGTCTTAAAGACATAAAAACCTGGATGACACTTAATTTTCTCCTGTTGAACACAGACAAGACTGAGGTTTTGGTTTTTGGATCTGAGCACCGTAGGAATTAATTTTTCAGTCTTTCTCCCTCCTTAGATGACATTAATCTGTCCTCCAGCTCTAATGTTAAAAATCTTGGTGTTATTTTTGATCAGGACATGTCTTTTATCCCCCACATTAAGAACCTTATTAGAACTGCTTTCTTCCACCTGCGTAATATCACTAACATTAGAAACATCTAAAAATGATGCAGAAAAACTGGTTCATGCATTTGTCACGTCTAGACTGGACTATTGCAATGGTTTATTATCTGGGTGTCCACATGCTTCCTTAAAACTTCTTCAGTTGATCCAAAATGCTGCTGCCAGAGTCTTAACTGGAGTTAGTAGGAGAGATCATATCTCTCCAGTTTTAACTTCTCTCCATTGGCTCCCTGTCAAATCCAGAATAGAATTCAAAATCTTACTTCTAACCTACAAAGCTCTTAACAACCTGGCTCCATCTTATATTACAGATCTTATTGTTCCATATTTTCCTAACAGAGCACTTCACTCTCAGACTGCAGGTTTACTTGTGGTTCCTAGAATTTACAAAACCAGAATGGGAGGCAGATCTTTCAGTTATCAGGCTCCTCTCTTGTGGAACCAACTTCCAATCTCTGTCCATGAGGCTGACACATTATCCAGTTTTAAAACTAGGCTTAAGACTTTCCTTTTTGCTAAATCCTATAGTTAGGGTCGGCTTGGGTTTCCTGAGCTGTCCCTTAGTTTTGCTGCTATAGGCTTAGACTGCTGGAGGACAAACTGACCACATTTTCACTCTGCTACTGTCTTTACTTACTCTGCTCAACCTGTTTTGTTTTTGTAATTATTTTTTCTATCCTTAACATGTGTTTTTGTCTTTCAGATACACCTGGACCTACCATTCTGTGTTTGTCTGTCTCTCCTTCCTGTCCTCTCAAACCAGCCGGTCAAAGCAGATGGCCGCTCGTCCTGAGCCTGGTTCTGCTGGAGGTTTCTTCCTTTTAAAAGGGAGTTTTTTCTTTCCACTATTGCTACTGTGCTTGCTCAGGATGGGAGACTGCAATGAAGCCAAGATTCAACTTGTCTGCTGGATTCCTTAGTTAGACAACTTTACTAATTGGCTTTTATGTATGTGAATGTTCCTGTAAAGTGCCCTGAGACAACTATGTAGTGATTTGGCGCTATATAAAAAAACTGAATTGAATTGAATAACAATGCAGATGTCACATCACTCCTACTTCAGAGTTCCGACATAAATGGAACGCATGATTATCTAAACTTTGGGGGGGTTGCGCACATATTGTACATATAGTCACATATTGTTTCATTTCATTCCCACCACTTTGTCTGTGTGCTTTAACTACTTTTTGTCAGGGAGTGTATTTATTTTATTTATTTATTTACTTGTTTCACCACGGATCACATCCTTCTGTCTCATAGTTTTCTTTGTGTGAGTGTCTCAATCCAATCCAAGTCCCTCTCACCTTGTTGCCAAGCAACATGATTACTACGTCACTCTGAGCATACTCGTGAATCTCTGTTAGCCATGCCTGTAACACACACATACAAAGATATTATTCAAATTAGCCAAAGCAATATTTTATAACTTGAACCTTAACAGATGTTATCGTCTGAATGGTTATGAAGCATTCACACTGTGATATATTTTCATCTGCATATTTTTCGGCGCAATTTTCGTCCCGCAGCCTCCAAACTATTTCAACAAATCATATATCAAAACATTCAGCTTTTTCAGGACAATCCTGCTATGACTTTTGGTATTGGCGCAACTTTAGTTTTTTTAAATCTTTAGCCTTTTCTGCCACTTTTTTTTTCATAGGAAATTAACTGAGCTCATTTTACATCCTTCATATCTTTACATCTGTTTACAACCTTTTACTGTTCCTTTCACATTTTGTTCCAGTTCAACCTTTTTCAGCTTCCTTGTGCAAATGTATACTTTATTCTACGATGGCCCTAAGGTATAAATGAACAACATTTGAAAAAACGGAATTACATTTGAAAAAACACAACAAAAACAGCAAAATCACAACAACATTTGAAAAAACAGAATTACATTAAGGCAAAGCAGAAGTGGCCAGAATCACATTTGAAAACACAGAATCACATTAGAAAAAACGGAATTACATTTGAAAAAACAGAATAACATTTGAAAAAACGGAATTACATTAGAAAAAAACAGAATCACATTTGAAAAAACAGAATCACATTATAAAAAACAAAATTACATTAAGCCAAAGCGGAAGTGGCCGGAATCACATTAGAAAAAACAGAATTACATTAAGCCAAAGCAGAAGTGGCCAGAATCACATTTTAAAAAACAGAATCACATTAGAAAAAACGGAATTACATTTGAAAAAAACAGAATCACATTTGAAAAAAAACAGAATCACATTTGAAAAAAATGGAATTACATTAGAAAAAACAGAATCACATTAGAAAAAACAGAATCACATTAGGAAAAACAGAATCACATTAGGAAAAACAGAATCACATTAGAAAAAACAGAATCACATTAGAAAAAACAGAATCACATTAGGAAAAACGGATTTACATTAAGCCAAAGTGGAAGTGGCCCAAGCGGAAATGGCCCGAATCACATTAGAAAAAAAAGTATTACATTTGAAACAACAAAATCACATTTGAAAAAACAAAATTACATTTGAAAAAACAGAATCACATTTGAAAAAACGGAATTACATTTGAAAAAAACAGAATGACATTTGAAAAACGGAATTACATTAAGCCAAACAGGAAGGGTTTTTTTTTTTTTTTTTTACTGTATTAACAGCATAAAATCAAACAACAAAATAATATACAGTACACACATCAGAGATATGTGTGTACTGTATATTCTAAAAAAGTTGTCAGGTCCTCTGGATGTTCAAAAAACAACAATAAATAAATTAAATCGTAGCAACGTTTCATCTTTCATCCGAAAGACTTCTTCAGTCTGACGAGCTGTATTCAGCTCAGTCTTATAAATAGCACCTTCTCATAGTGGGTCAACCAGTTTGTTGTTGACATTTAAAACTAGTTGTTCACATGATCAAGGAGGACCATCAGCCTAACAATGGATCGTTAGCACCCTGATGGCTGCTTGCTAGCCACAGAGGGCTGAGTGATACTAGCAATAACAGCATTAGCTATGTTTACATGCGCAGAATTCTTTGACCAGATTGAAATGTGTTCTGTTTGAATAATTCAAAGTATTGTTTACATGGGCACAATCTGTTCATGACGAGCGTTTACATGCAGCGGGCTTTGTTCTGAACAGCAGTACTGACATGCGCAGAGTGGTAAACTCTCCTTAAAAAAAAACACAGAAGAAGTTGTTCTACTTCCGGGTGAACGTAAACAAACCTGCGCACCCAAAATCAGAGTCAGAGTCAGAGAGTCAGAGTTTCTTTATTGTCATTCGCACCTCATGTGGTACATGTGGTGGAGCAAAATTATGTACACGGGGTCCCAGTTACATCCAACAATAAAATGTATAAGAAAAACAGTAATAACATCTAAGATATGAACTAAGAAAAACATCAACTAAATATACACTAAGCACTCATAACATAAAACATTGAACATGAGCACAAACATGAACATGAGTCTGTGAGCAGATGTGCACGCATGAACACATCAACATTGAAACAGATCAGCAGCAACATGAAACAGATCAGCAGCAACATGATATGGTTTTTCACAGTGATTATTCTAGTTAGAGATTCATGAGTCTAACAGCCTCAGGGTAGAAGCTGTTCCTCAGTCTAGTGGTTCTACACTTAATGCTCCTTAACCTCCTTCCTGAGGGGAGTGGGGCAAAAAGTGTGTGTGCTGGGTGAGTGGGGTCCTTCATGATGCAGGTGGCCCTCTTCCTGCATCTGGAGGTGTAGATGTCTGTGATGGTGGGGAGACTGATTCCAACAGATTTCTGTGCAGCCTTCACCACTCTCTGCAAAGCTTTTCTTTCTGCAGCTGTGCAGCCTCCATGCCACATGTTGATGCTGGAGCACAGGATGCTCTCCACTGCACACCTGTAGAAGGAGGTGAGGACTGAGCTTCCAAGACCAGCTCGCCTCAGCCGTCTGAGGAAGTAGAGTCTCTGATGAGCTTTCTTGATCAGGCTGGTGGTGTTGTTGCTCCAGCTGAGGTTGTCATTCATGTGTACACCCAAGTACTTGTAGCTGGAGACCACTTCCACCGCAGATCCTCTTATGTTCAGGGGGGTGTAGGTGTTTTTGTTCCTTCTGAAGTCCACAATCATCTCCTTAGTCTTTTTCACATTGATGTGAAGGTTATTCTCTCTGCACCAGCTCTCCAGGTGTTCCACCTCTTGCCTGTAGCTGGACTCATCATTGTTTGTGATGCATCCCACCACCGCTGTATCATCTGCAAACTTTACAATGTGACTGCCTGGATGGGTAGCTGCACAATCATACGTGAGCAGAGTAAACAGGAGGGGGCTCAACACACATCCCGGAGGAGAGCCAGTGCTGAGGGTTATGGTGGAGGAGGAGAGGTTGTGGATCCTCACTAACTGCGGTCTGTTTGTTAAAAAGTCTAGTACCCAGTTGCAAATGGAGGGGCTTAGTCCTAGTGTGGATAGTTTGTCCATCAGGGTTTGGGGGATCATGGTGTTGAAGGCGGATGTGAAGTCCACAAAGAACATACGGACGTAAGAGTTTTTCTGCTCCAGGTGGTTGAGCGCAGTGTGGACCACAGAGGAGATGGCATCCTCTGTTGATCGGTTCTCATGGTATGCATACTGATGAGGGTCCTCGTTGATGTTGATGGTTGTTTTGATGCGAGTCATGACCAGTTTTTCAAAGCATTTAGCGACTATCGGGGTGAGAGCCACTGGCTGATAGTCATTCAGACCAGTCACTGTAGAGCTTTTTGGGACTGGGATGATGGTGGCAGTCTTCAGGCAGGTGGGAACTGTCTCCAGGGTAAGTGAGGTGTTAAAGATGTCTGCCAGCACCTCACAGAGCTGATCAGCACATTCCTTCAACACTTTTCCGGGGATGTTGTCTGGGCCAGTTGCTTTGTGCGGATTAATCCTCCTGAAGGTACTCCTTACTTCTGCTGAGGTCACGCTGAGATGCTCTTCATCCGGTGGCGAGGTGAGTCTGGTGCTTGGTGGTCTGTTTGGGTCTTCAAAGCGTGCATAGAACTTGTTGAGGGCATCAGGCAGAGATGGGTCTTTGGGGCATTGTTCACTCCTTCCTTTATAATCTGTTATGCACTTAATGCCCCTCCACATGCTCCGAGGGTCTTGTGAGATGAATTGACCCTCGATCCTCTTTGCATATGTGGCCTTGGCCCTCTTAATACCAGCAACCAGCTCTTTTCTTGTCCTACTCAGCTCCTCTGAGTTTCCAGACCTGAAGGCAGTGTTCCTGGCTTCCAGCAGGGTACGCTCCTCTGCATTCAGCCAAGGTTTTCTGTTTGGGTAGCTTTTAACATTTCTGATAGTGGAGACTGTGTCAGTACATGTACTAATGTAACCCAGTACTGAGGATGTGTATTGGTCAAGATCAAGCGAACCTCCATTTTCAGCAGCTTCTCTGAAAACCTGCCAGTCTGTTCGGTCAAAACAATCTCTCAGTATGGGGCCACTGTCCTGGCTCCAACATTTAACTTTCTTTTGTACCGGTCTGGAGCGTCTCAGCGGGGGCATGTAAGTAGGAGCCAGGAAGATTGAGATGTGGTCTGACAGTCCTAGGTGGGGGCGGGGTTCGGCTTTGTATGCATCTTTTACGTTCGTGTAAACACGGTCCAGCGTGTGGTCTCCACGTGTCGGAATCGTCACATGCTGATTAAAGCTTGGGAGACACTCAAAATGGACCCGCGACAGGTTTTAATGATGGTGGAGACGTTACTGCCCTCCCTGACTGAGCTACAGATCATTTTGAGCTCTTTCAAAGATTCTAGTAGAATTGTTGTGTCTCTCAACGACCAGTTTTGCTTCCCTGACATGCTAATATTATTAGCATTAGCCAGGTGGAAATGGCAAAGTCGCACACGCGCAGTCAGGTCAGTTTTTCACGATCAGATAAAAACGAACAGATCAAGTGTTTACATGCGCACCGATCGGGTTACGGATCGGCGTAAACCACCCGTTTCGTTCTGATCACAACTTATATCGGATCGCGCCGAATACACAAAAAATAACCCGAATGGAGTGTTTACATGACACACTTTTATTCCGACCGGCCATTTGATCCAGTTACTTATGTCCATGTAAACATACCCACTGTAAGAAGGGGACAGTTGAACACAGAGGCCTCCAGAGGACCTGACTTAACTTTTGTAGATTTTTCTACCTGGATTATTGAGCATGCATCAGGATGTACTGTATATTGTTCTGTTGTTTGGTTTTATGCTGTTAATGAAGTAAAAAAAAAAAAAAAAAACCTTCCTATTTGGCTTAATGTATTTTTGTTTTTTCAAATGTCATTCTGTTTTTTCTAATGTGATTCAGTTTTTTCAAATGTAATTCTGTTTTTTTCTAATGTTGTTGTGATTTTGTTATTTTTGTTGTGTTTTTTCAAATGTAATTCCATTTTTTCAAATGCTGTTCATTTACACCTTAAGGCCACCGTATTATTCAGCTATTTTCAGCTAATTTTAGCTTGTTTTTTCAGCTATTTTGTGCTCCTTTCAGATGCTTTCTGGTAACTACAATGTTTCTGTGCTTTAAACTTCTTTCTGCAAATGTCAGCTTGTTATTGCTCCTTACAGCTTATTTCTGCAAGTTTCAGCAATTTCAGCTGTTATAGCTGTTTTTGTACTAATTTGAGCTTTTTCAACTAATTCTCCATTTTTTTGCATTGATTTCAACACTATTCATCCTAATTCAGCAAAAATATGCTCGCTCCCCCTACCTGTGGTAATTTAAGCTTCTTTCAGCTTTATTAGCTACTTTTCAGCTGGTTTTTTTGTTGTTGTTGCTAATTTAGTCTTATCAGATAATTTCCACTTTTTGTGCTCATTTCTGCTTCTTTCAGCATAATTGCGCAAACATGTTCTTTCTGCTTTCTTATGCTAATTTAAGCTTTTCTAACTTTTCAGCTACCCTTTTAGCTAATTTTAGCTGTTTTCAGATAAATTCGTTTTCATGGTAATCTCTGCTAATTTCAGCCTAATTACCTTCTTTCTGCTAATTTCAACTTATGTTCCTTTCAGCTATTTTCTGCTAGTTTCACTTTTTTCTGCTGTTTCAGCTATCTTTTAGCTGTTTTTGTGCCAAATGTAGCTTTTTCAGCTAATTCCACAATTTTTTAAAGCTTATTTCATCTCCTTCCACTTCCTTCTGGTAGTTTAAACTTCTTTCTGCCTTTTCAGCTACTTTTCAGCCTTTTTTTTTGTGGCTAATTTCTGCCTTTTTTATTTAGCTAACTTCCTATTTTATGTTCTAATTTCTAATTACTTAAACAAAATCCAGCAAGTACATGTTCTTTCTGCTTTCTTCTGCTAAGTTAGGCTTGTTCTTCCATTTCAGCTACATTTCAGCATGTTTTTAGCTCATTTCAGGTGTTATCAGCAAGTTCTTCTGCAATAAGCAATTACAATGTATTTTTGCAGGAAATGCAATTTATCTAGTTTCAGTTTGCTAAGCTCCTTTCATCTTATTTATGCAATTTTCAACTTTTTCTAATATTTCAGCTACGATTTATGTTTTTGCTAATTTTAGCTTTTTCAGCTAATTCCACATTTTTTGCACTTATTTTAGATTTTTTTTCAGCATAATTCTGCAAAATTGTGCTCTCTCTCCACTTTAATTTAAGCTTCTTTCTATTTTTTAGCTACTTTTCAACATTTTTTTTTTTTGCCAATTTCAACTTGTATCAGATAATTCCCACTTTTTTGTGCTCATTCTTACTTCTTTCAATCTAATTGGGCAACCATGTTTTTTTTTTTTTGCTTTCTTCTGCTAATTTTAACTTGTTCTATCTTTTACAGCTACCCTTTTAGTATTTTTTAGCTAATTTCAGCTGTTTTCAGATAAATTTAGGTGTTTTGTGTTAATTTATGCTACTTTCAGCCTAATTAACTTTTGTTATGCTAATTTCAGTTTGTTATGCTCCTTTCAGCTTTTTTCGGCAAATCTCAAATTTTTCAGCTAGGGAGGCTGTAGCTGAGTGGTTAGAGGAGTCGTCCTCCAATGCGAGAGATGGGAGTTCAAATCCACCAGCAGTCACATGTCCAAGTGTCCCTGGGGAAGACACTGAACTCCTCATAACCTCTGATGTGTGTCCCATCAGTGTATGAATGTGATCTAAAGCACTGATTAGTTTCATTAGAATGATTTGTTCAATTATCTTTGTAGAGATCTAGTAGAGTGCTGTGTGAATGGGTAAATGAGGACACGGATTGTAGTGTAAAGTGCATTGAGTATCTTGAAATAAGATAGAAAGGCGCTTACCCTAATGTTGTCAAAGGATGATTTGCTGGTGATGTCGTACAAAAGGAGCAAAGCTTTGGAAAAGGAATTGTTGGAAGTAAAGGTGATGCATGTAAATCAAATTCAGCATGTTTCCTGCATACAGTATACATGTAGGACTTTGTTAATAACACTTGTGACTTATTTTGTCTCACCATGTGCGTCTCTATAATATGCATGTGTCACACTTCTGAAGCGCTCCTGGCCAGCCGTGTCCCAAATCTGGAACGGACAACAAATTTGGAATTCCAGCTGATTACAAATATCTTGCAGTTACAATGCAAACATACATGAATAACTCGGGCAGTGAACTGCTCCTCTTGAAGCACATTGTCTTCTTTTTTACACCTACCTGTAGCTTGACCTTGACGCCATCAACAGTTACCACTTTATTCTGTGGGGACAGTTCAGGGAGAGAACAATGAAAAGATCAACTGCTTTAAATAACTACAAGAGAAAAAAACAAGGTCAGAGGTATTTGTCAATACAACTTTTATTATATTAAGAAAACAGTAATCATCATCTTCTCTTCAGTGATCACCATTGTGAGTCATCTTCCTTCATTTCACTCTGTCCTCTGCATCCTCTGTCCTCACTCCAACTACCTCCATGTCCTCTCTGAATCCATATATCTTCTCTTTGTCTTTTCCTGATGGCTGCATGTCTATTATCCTTCTACCACTATACCCACTGTCCCTCCTCTGGACATGTATGTCCAAACCATCTCAGTCTGTCCTCTAACTTTATCTCCCAGTTCTTCAACCTATGATGTACCTATGATGTACCTGTGAATCAGATTCATCAGAGAGATACCCAGAAATACAGAGATACTTTGATGATCTCACTCCTATTCTTATCTTGGGCAGGTGGGGCTGGAGCGGCTGGGGCTGAGTGGTTAGAGCAGTCATCCTCCAATGCAAGAGTTGGGGGTTCAATTCCACCAGCAGTCACATGCCTAAGTGTCCCTGGGCAAGACAATGAACATTGCCTCCAATGTGTCTCCCATCAGTGCATGAATGTGATAAAGCTCTGATTATTCTTTCTATAGATGTAGTAGTAGAGTGCTGTATGAATGGGTAAACAAGGGAACAGAGTGTAGTGTAAAGCACTTTGATTTAGTGCTGCAATTTCTAACCCGAACCCGGAGCCTGGCCCAGCCCGACCTGGATTAGGGCTGGGCTGAGCCATTATGTTGTGCTTAATATGCGAGCTGGGCCGGTGTTGAGCTTTTGATTGCATCAGCGGACGTGTGCGGCTGACGATTCAATTGTATGGCTACTGGGCTTACCATACAATCACCAGCCGCACGTGGCCATTTGACTACACACTGACCGGCCTTAAAAGAGGTTAAAATAAAGTTCAGTTAAGCTTCAGATGGGACTATACTGCCAGGCAACGATCCATCAAAGCCCAAATGGACGTTCATTCAGCCGCTGCACTCAGTGGACGAGCAAGACTGATGACCCAAACAGGTGAGATCGCAAAATATTCGACATATCAGAGAAGGGTCCGTGTCTAAATAATGCAGAATGCAGGCAGAAACATGGATTTAATGCACTTTGACAGCCATGAAAGGACAAACGCCCCCTCAGCTCCGATATTCTGCCCCATTTACTCAGCTGTGTGCATCTGCTGACTATTAATAACTATAAGCAGCCAAAGCTTAATTAAAAATGTCAGGGTTTTTTTGGGGATTCGGACCTGTAATTACTGTTAATTCGGTGGGTCGGGTGGGGTTTGGAAATTATGGCTACAGGCTAGGACCAGGTTGAGTCTGATTTTTTTGGGCCCGAATGCAACTCTACTTTGAGTATATTCAAAAACATTGAAGCCAAAAAAACTGTACTTTATTTGTAACAGAAGACATTTCGCTCCTCATCCGAGGAGCTTTCTCAATTCAAAGAGCAGAGTGTATGGGGTTCAGATTATAAAGCTGAGATAAGATACACATACATATGTAGATTGACAAATCACGCCTCACAGTAGGGGTTTCTTAAGGTCTTTGTTAATCTATTTCACAGTTGAGGCCCCTCTGTTCCCATCTGATTGGGTGAAACTGACCAGGAATCAGTCCTAAAGCTGCATTATTAGTTTTTTAAAGTTGAAATCTGAGACCTCCTCCTCTGTTTAGAGATGGTTTCTCTCTTTTTACATAAACTTTCCTTCACTCCCCTCTCAAACCATCTGTGTTCTCGGTCCAAAATGTGCACATTTTGGTCCTCAAATGAGTGTCCCTTATCCGTGAGTTGGAGGTGAACAGCTCAGTCTTGTCCAGAGGAGGTGGCTTTCCTGTGTTGAGCCATGTGTCTGAAAGTCACAAACTACCTGCAAAACCTTGAAAAGGAGAAATCAATCAATCGATCGTTGTATTATAGATTGTACCCAGGAGAAGCCACTCACTGTCTATATGGACTTCCTAAAATACACAAAGAAGGAAACCCACTCAGACCCATCGTCAGCAGCATGAACTCAGTAACATACAATATTGCTAAACATCTGGCTGGTATTTTAGCTCCTCTTGTTAGAAACACACCTCATCACAAAAAGAACTCTATTGATTTTGACAACAAAGTTCAACATTTCAACCTAACCCCAGGAGAAACCCTTGAATCATATGATGTGACTTTTCTTTTCACTTGCATACCCATTTCTGAAGCAGAAGAAACTGACAGAAAACAACTTCTACAAGACAAGGACTTAAACAATAGGACCAACTTCACCCCAGACCAGATCGGCACCCTGTTGGACCTCTGCCTCTACTTATTTCAAGTATAATGACAGTTTTTACAGACAGAAGCATGGTTGTGCCATGGAATCTCCAGTGTCACCCATTGTTGCCAATCTCTACATGGAGGAAGTGGAACCCTACTCTCCTATGAGGGAACAACGCCAAGCCATTGGTTCCGATATGTGGATGATACCTGGGTCAAATCCAAGCCAAGGAAATAGAAGTGTTCACTAGACACATCAACTCGGTCGATAACAACATCAAGTTCACCAGAGAGGATGCACACAACAACAAGTTGCCTTTTTTGGACCGTTTGATTCACATGGATAGAAAGGACAGCTTCAACATTGAAGTTTACAGAAAACCAAACCACACAGATCAGTATCTTCTGTTTGACTCCCACCATCCACTTGAACACAAACTGTCATCAGAACTTTACTGCATCAGGCCGAACGCGTCCCCACAAAGACAGACGGGAAGGAAAAGGAACAGAAACACATTCAAGAAGCTCTTCAAACATGTGGATATCCTAACTGGGCTTTTGTCAAGTCAGTGAGGAAATACTAAACAGAAAAAGGAGAAGAACAGATGTAAAAACATCGTCATCCCTTATGTTGCTGGAGTATCAGAGAAATTCAGAAGAATTTTAAACAAGCACAACATCCCAGTACATTTCAAACTCAACAGGACTCTCAGACTGAGGCTGGTCCACCCTAAGGACAAAACACCCATACAAAAATTGAGTGGTGTGGTTTATGCAGTTCGGTGCAAGGAGGAATGTCCAGATCTCTATATTGGAGAAACCAATTACTTCACAGACACATGGCTCAACACAGGAAAGCCACCTCCTCTGGACAAGACCTCTGGACAAGTTCACCTCCACCTCACGGATAAGGGACACTCATTTGAGGACCAAAATGTGCACATTTTGTTCCGAGAACACAGATGGTTTGAGAGGGGAGTGAAGGAAACAGTTTATGTAAGAGAAACCATCTCTAAACAGAGGAGGATGTCTCATATTTCAACTTTCCAAAACTTATAATGCAGCTTTAGGACTGATTCCTGGTCAGTTTCACACCTATCAGATGGGAACAGAGGGGCCTCGTCTGTGAATTAGATTAACAAAGACCTTAAGAAACCCCTACTGTGATGTGTGATTTGTCAATCTACATATATATGTGTATCTTATCTCAACTTTATAACCTGAACCCCACATGTTCTGCTCTTTGAATTGAGAAAGCTTCTCGGATGAGGAGCGAAACGTCTTCTGTTACAAATAAAGTCCAGTTGTTTTTGGCTTGAACGTTTTTGAATTTACCATGGTAAATGGACTGCACTTATATAGCACCTTTCTATCTTATTTCAAGACACTCAAAGCGCTTTACACTACAATCTGTGCCTCATTTACCCATTCATACAGCACTCTACTAGATCTCTACAAAGCTAATTGAACAAATCATTCTAAAGAGACTAATCAGTACTTTAGATCACATTCATACCATGTCCTGGATGACTGAGAATCTTCACCAGCATACCTTGAGTATCTTGATAAGATAGATAAGTGTGAAGTACAGTCCATTTACCATTTATCTAGCCTTGAAACTCCTAAGGAGAATCTCAACATCTTCTACTGCTACTTCCAGTTCTTTCTTTTATCTTTTTTGTCAGTGCCACTGTCTTCAGTGGGAGGGCCGCTGTGGCTGAGTGGTTAGAGCAGTCGTCCTCCAATGCGAGAGTTGGGGGTTCGAATCCACCAGCAGTCACATGCCGAAGTGTCCCTGGGCAAGACACTGAACCCCTCATAGCCTCTGATGTGTGTCCCATCGGTGTCTGAATGTGATCTAAAGCACTGATTAGTCTCTTTAGAATGATTTGTTCAATTAGCTTTGTAGAGATCTAGTAGAGTGCTGTATGAATGGGTAAATGAGGACACAGATTGTAGTGTAAAGCGCCTTGAGTATCTTGAAATAAGATAGAAAGGCGCTATATAAGTACAGTCCATTTACCATTCACACTTCCAATATCAATAATCACTGCTGCACCTGACGACGTTTCTTTAAAATCAGAAAGCTCCTCTGTAAAATCATTAGTGTTAAAACGATTGTAAAATGAATTAAAATCATTTGACAGTTCCAAGGTGGATGAGGAGTTAAGAGTAATGTGAGTTTTCTTATTGGGCATCCCCATCATAGACTTAACATCCTCCCATGCCAGCCGGGAGTTATTGGACCTGGACATATTTTCCACCCTCTCCTTATAGTTTATTTAACTACTTTTAATTCTTTCCTCACTTGTTTATTTAGTATGTGATATTGAGTTAAATCCCCCTTTTTGAAGCTAATGTTGTGTAAATTTATTGTTTTTTTAACTGATTTGGAGATCCAAGGTTTATTGTTAGCAAAGATTGTGACAGATTTCCTGGGAATGACTGATCCCTCACAAAAATTAACATAAGAGGAAATTATGTCAGTAAGTTCCTCTAAATTATTGCATATACTTTTAAACAAATCCCAGTCTGTGCAGCTAAAACAGTCTTGAAGATTCTGGATGGCCTCTTCCAACTAAACCGGAACCAAACATTGCTCTGGCTTGTTTCCTCAGGACGGGTTTGTAGTGTGGGACCAAATAGACAACAATGTGGTCTGATGAACCAAGCGGGGTTCTGC